ACGCTTTATCACTGGTAACATTTTTGTTTTACAGTTCACAGTATATATTCATATCTTGTGTATGCAGTCTAGGTATTATGTAATATCTATATAATGCTTGATACTGTATGTTGAAGAATTGCAACTATGTTTAATTAAAAAAAGAAATTCAAAGAACATCACTGTTTTTCCTTAGATACAGTCGGTGAGTTTAACTTGGAAGATGCCGTGGAGCCCAGTGTTCACAAATCGCTGAATGCAGAGCCTGGTAAGATATTGTTGGAACAGCACACAATTGCAGAAACTCTTTTCAGCTTATATACTAAAGCAGATTTTACAGCAGTGGTATACTGCAACCCCACTGAAACTTTCATTCAGATTTCTGATCTCCTTGTAGTTTCACCATAGCTGGAGTGCCGAGCTTGCCCACACCTAGGTTAGATTATTGTCTCATCTGCTGGTCTTGGTCAGCTTTAAAACAGAGTGCACAATTCTGGCAGGTCCTTCAGTGGAGAATGTTGATTAGGTGTTTTTGGAATTTCACAGACAACTCCTATCATTTATTTCTTGAAAGAAGAACTCCAGTATAAAATATTCTAAACCCTTGCAGTGGGGCTACCCCTGCACTGCAAGGGTTGTGTTCCGCTGGAGCAAATGGGGAGTGAGGCTGGAAGGACTGATCTAAAAGCCAGCTGGCTGTAAGTTTCGCGTGAGTATATTATTTACATATACTCTTATGCTATGTGGGCAGCCCCACTGGAAGGGTTAAAGTGACATTAAACCATCAGATTTTTTAACATAAAACAATACTGTAATGTGCGCCTTACTGTAATCCATGGTTGTTTCCCTTCTCTTTGCTGCTCTTCCTTTTAAATCCTCATGTCTTCTCATGCTTAGGGAGAACTTTCCTTTTCAGCTCAGGGCCTCTTCCTGTAGTGCTGGCTCAGGTTACAAACCTATACAAACCTATACACAGACACCGTGTATCCATTCCTGAGACAAGGCAGTCTGCTGCAAAACAGAAGTTCTGCCCAGCATGAGAACAACAGATACAAATTTAAAAGGAAGAGCAGCAAAGAGAAGGGAAACAACCATGGATTACAGTAAGGCGCGCACATTACAGTATTGTTTTATGTTAAAAAATCTGAGGGTTTAATGTCACTTTAAGAATAATTTTTGCTGGAGTTCTTCTATAAAGATACAAAGTTGTTTATTTAAGAAGGAATTTGGGTGATAGAAGTATTCAGGTTTATCCTCGCCTCCATCAATGATTTGTCTTTTTAGTGTTAACGATCTGACTGCTACTTTTATGACTGCTTTTCATCTTGTTAAATGAAGGTCCCAGATGATTAGAAGTTTATATGTCTCTTAAATCCTGTGAAATGTATTTTAAAAGCTAGAACAGAATATAATATACAGAATATAGATGCTAAAAAAACATTTATAGCAAACATTCGCTCGCCGAAATCATTACAGGAAGGCAGACAAAAAATGTACCTTTTTAAAATTGAACTCAGGGATACGCTTACATTTTCCTCAATACTTTTCTTCCCCAACGACAATAAAAACAAGCAGTTTTTGTCCTTTTGTACTTATTTTCCCTGAAATTGACCTTTTTAAAAACTTTGTGAATGTCATCAGTTTTACTTACAAAGTGCAGGTATGTCCAGCTGCTCAGAGGAGAAACCATTGAGGTACCAATGTCTCTTCCATTTGCTGTTCAGCTTGCCTGAGCAAACTTCCAAGCCCATTATGCACAGCGATGTCATCAAAGCCAGTGGGCGGCATAGTGGGTGTTCACAGGACTAGCGTGGATGTGTGGGACAGACCAGGAGTCTCCAGACCTGTCAGCCTACTTATGCTGTCCTGGATGGGTGGGGCAGGCTGGGAGTCTCGGCAGCCGGTGTGCTCTCACTGCAGCGAGGAGCAGCAACATACGTAGCCTCTCATTTAATAGAACCACACAGGGGCCATTACACGACTGGAGGCCCCAGTTAGAGCATAGTGGCGACTGGTGTTGTAAACAAATCAGGGAGTGAGCCCTGGAAAGCAGAGAATAAGATGTAAATGATTGAATGGCTATAGCAGGAAATGAAATGGGACCAGCTCGAGAGATCACATTTACAAAAAAATATTTACATTTGTGCCTGAAGTTCAGCTTTAATTTCACTGTATGACTCACCAGATCCGCCCTGGAGCCCCCTAAAGTGTCTATGCAAATACTCATTTTCTAAAAGTCCAGAATAGGATGCACAGTCCCAGTGAGGGTACGGACTTGGCAGTAGGTTACAAAGGCACCAATATTTTTTTTGTGGTATTTAGACACAAGAAGCTATACCGGTGCTTAAGATACCAAGAAATGTGTGTAAGGACTGTGGGGGCATTCTGGGGGTGCTGTAAAACTAACGGTATGCCATGGGAACTTATGGTGCCTGTCTTTCCATAACATTATCGTCTTCTATTGTTTTCTACAAGGGTAGGTTTTTGTTTTAGAACGTATCTAAAACAAAGAACCAAAATGTAATATATTGCAGGTTATTGGTACTTAGATGTGGTTGCTGCATTCCTTTTGGTTTTTTTAAGTAATGATATTCTGTTTCACCTGGTGATCTTGCCAGTAACACTTTCTGCCCTAGGGTGACAACGATCACTCAGCGTACTGTATTAAAGTAGCAGCGTTGTCACCCTACCTCACTTAGAGGGGGGCGAGCTCTGTAGTCTTCATAGATGGCTAAAAACAAGGTTATTGATAAGTTGACAGAGCGGACACAACGTTTTTAGCTGGTAAGATTTCTAGAAGGATAAACTGATATAACAAAACACTTCCGTGGTTTATTTACAGACCTAAATAGACCAGATTAGAGACATTAAATGCTAAATTGGTCATACATTGTTCAATCTGATTATACAATCTCCTTTCGATTTACCAAAACTATGTAACATGAAGACAAACCTAAACAATCCATTTTGTTTGTATTCAGCCATTGCACTGCATAGTTGAAGGTGGATTTAACCACTTGAAGACCAGGGTGTTTCACCCCCTTCCTGGCCAGGCCATTTTTCAGTATTCAGCGCTGTTGTACTTTGACTGACATTTATTCCGTCATGCAACGCCATACCAAAATTAATTTTATACCCTTTTTTGGGGACAGATAGAGCTTTCTTTTGGTGGCATTTAATCACCACTGGGGTTTTTATTTTTTACTATATAAAGGAAAAATTGCCGACATTTTAAAAAAAAAACAGTTTTCCCTATGTTAAGCAATGAAAAATTGCACATAAATTATCTTTCTTCATAAATTTAGGCCAAAACTTATTCTGCTACATGTCTGTGGTAAAAAAAAAAAAAATACGGGTATATTAAGTACAGTGTTTGAAAGTTATACAGTCCACAGACTACAGTATATATATTTGAAATGTATCAATCCTGGTGCCCTGACCGCTTATTGCAATTCTTGAGGCCCTATAATGCCTGGACAGTAGAAACACCCACAATACGACCCCATTTTGGAAACCAGACACTTCAAGGCATGTTGAGTTTTTTTTAAGATTTCATTTTTTAGCCACAAGTTTTTAAAAATGAAAGAAGAAAAAAAAAAGTGTTTTTTCTATTTTTTTTTATTTTCTAAAAACTTGTGGCAATAAAATGAAATCCTCAAAAACATCCCCATGCCTCTTATTAAATACCTTGGGGTGTCTGCTTTCCAAAATGGTGTCATTTGGTGGGTGTTTCTACTGTCCTGGCATTATAGGGCCTCCAAAATTGTGAT